AAAAAAAAAAAAAAAAAAATTAAATGCATTAGGACACTGAGGTCCACTAATGTGTGTTCTTTGCCATTTTAATCCGTACTTAATCAGAGTACAAGAAAACTCTTGCTAAGTGCTGTCTCACAGCAGACACTGCTGTGGCCCCCTTCCTGCACCATTGTCACTATCTTTGAAAAACCTTAACTCTGTAGAATAGCTGAATGTATCAATAGTGTTGGCCCAAAAAATCCAATACAGTTTCACACAAAGGCCAGAATGGTAAAGTACAAAAACAGCTACAGCTAAACTTTACAGCTAAAATGAGACGCAGAAGAGTTAAAAGGTGATAGACAGTTCATTAGCCATGTATAAGGTATGTGTTAAACTCCTCAGGAATGAAAACAGGTTTGCCATTAATTCTTATTTTTCAAGCCTGATTGATATTTTCCTCCTAATATAGACAGACTGATTAATATCTCTCTGTAATTCTTATCTACTAACACTGTAAATGTATTAACTTTGGACCAACTCTCCCCCTGATAAGGGAGAAGGTCAGCCACTTGCAACTGGGCCTGTGAGCTGTGAACCACTGTGGACTGAAAAGGTTGTAACACCAGATACCAACAAGAGATACACGGATTTTTTGGACTTTTGGACTTTTGGACACCACTGTATCTTTGAAGTCAAAAGATTCCCTTGTGAGAGCTGTGAGAATGAAGACTTACTCCAGAAAAGTAAGGAAATGTGCAATTATTTTTGCACTGTGGATTCCCTAAGAACATCATAGATTGTGCCATCATAGATTGTGAGGGAACAGATACACTGATCTCTACACATTCCACTGTTAGCACTGAGAGAATTCATTGGGTGCTCACTTATCATCCCACTAATAAAACAGTGATGGAAATTATACTTAATGACTTCTCCAGGATTATCCTGAGACAGCTTCCCTTTTTGTGGACCCTCATTTCCTACAGATGGGACAAATACATCAAAGACCTAATTGTCAGGAGTGAATTAATTTATCAGGCTAATAAAATCTGTCACAATTTTGCATGCAAATCTTCTATTGCAGGTTTATTAACGCAGGCCCTAAAGGATCATAGCCCTAATTCATACATACTTTGATAAACCATTCCCAGAATTCATATAAGTTGTACAAAACACAATATTTTTTGTACATATACACATTTTATTGGCGCGTATATATAAGTATGAAAAACATATCCAAAATAATAATATAATTATTATAAATAACATGGGGAAATAACCAGTTCATATGCAAATATAATAAATAGAATCTAAATAGAATAGACCGCCCAGTGTTTCTGTGTTGTGTAGGCTTAATTCTAATTCAAAGTGTCATAGGAAAATAATTTTCACATTTACCTTACCAAATTCTCTCACATGAATATCCATGTACAGTCTCTCTAAACATTTACTACCCAATCCGTGCCCCCTATTCAAATTGTGCCATGGGTCAAAACGTCACACGTTACAAAGGTTGAGCGCCACTGTTATAACGTACAAAACCAAACCCTGCAATATGAACTGGTATCATTACATAAAAGGCATAATGTTAAAGTCTGTTATTTGAGTATGGTGGTCCTCCATTTTGCTTCCTTAAAATACATTTAAGATGCTGTATTTTCAATCATAGGAGTATTAGTGACCTTGGTCAGTGATAAGAATGAGCATCAAAATTAACAGTTTCTGCCATTTTGTGCCAAAAAGCAGCTAAGCTGCTAGCAGAGGAAGGAAGTGACAACTAGCTAGCTAGACTTATAAACTTTAAGTTTGACATATCAGTCATGTTCATTCCTGTTTTACTGATTGGCAGCTGGTTAGGAGGTTCCTGCCCTTTAAGAGGTCTACCAACATTCATATGTAGAAGCGTGCATCCAGCTGGGACAAAGAGCGCACTGTCCAATAAATGTCGAGATGTTTTTTTTTTCTGTGCAGAAACTCACCTGCCCACACTCCATTCACTCCCAGTGAAGCCGTGTGTCTGGGCGTGTTTAAAATGACGTGTTAAAAGCCTATTAAAACAGCGAGTATATGAACACCTAACACATTGCAACTTCAGCTCAGGCTTCAGTGGGTGTCTGTTAGCTCTGTGATTTTCAGGCAGGCTGCGCTGTCCACCGATAAAGAGTTTGAGTTTAATGAACAAACAATGCGATATTGCAGTGAGATATTTGATCATTTTATTTGCTAAAATATTGAATTCCAACAAGACTGATGAATATAGATATTTTGGTAAACATTTCAGCACCTGTGTAGTCTTAAAGCAGTCGACTGTGATTGTGACCCAAACACACATGCAGAGAATGCAAACACAGATTCTTATAATGAAAGTAATCAGACATAAATGTTTACATACCTGCTATTTTATTTAACAGCTTATTAAAAAGGTTAGTCATGTGCTGAGCAACGTCCTCCTACTATTTCTGAGCACCAGCCAGTAATCTCCCACCGAAGGAAAAACAGGAGATGTTGTAGGTGCAGTGAGAAGCCACTTCAGAGTGAAAGGAAAAAGATAGCTGAACTCCAGGGAATCAGGGAGGAATTAAGAGCCATGAGGGACCAGCAAGACCACCATCATGAGGAGGTTATGGCATTTAGATATGGCAAATTAGAAGTTTTGTAGCAACAAATGGGGCTCTGGTGAAGCTGTATGGTGCATGGCATTCAATTTTCTGTTCAATGACAGAGAAGTTAAAAGCCTTCACCAGTTGAATTGAAATACAAAATAAAATATCCCATTTGATTACCAAATATACTCTTTTGTAATATGTATTTTGAATAAGTGATTTTCTAATATACTAGGCATTCATACAGTAGTTTAACATGTGGAAATGGTCACATAATTGTAACTTGATTCATCAAAATACCGTAGTAATGCCAGGTCAAATTGTAAGCAATTGTTGAGTGAAGCTGCAGCATGTCAC